GGGTACATATATAAATTCCTCATCAATTTTACAAATTTTCGGCGTTTTACAAAATGATAAAAATTGAATGTAGAAAGTCATCTCTGTCCATTTTACAATAATTTCATCAGTGACTAATAAGATATACTACCATTTGGCTTTTTTAGTGAAATCATAAAATTTGTTGAAATATCCAATAGATAATCGTTTTCAGAATTTTCAATTCAAAAGTCAAAATAAAATACAAAATGCAAGATTGGTTAAGTTACTGGAATTCGTATATATCAACCAAAAATGTATTACATTTTCATTCAAGAAATGATCAAATGACCCCAAACTTACACGAACCCATGTGGGTAAAATAATCAAAAGCTTCTAAAGTAAGAATTCCGTTGATAGTCTTGTCTGGTCAAGAGTGAGCTAAGCAAACCATTGTTCTTTACTAGCTCAAATGCTCAATTAGAAGCGTCTAAAGTTAATTGGAACCTAAATTTGAGTACAGTTCTAATTTTACGGGCGAAAACATCCAAATTAAATGTGTTCTCTACTTCTTTATGGAATCAACGCTCTTCAAACGGTCGCGGGTATAATACTTGTAAAAATTAAGAAATGGTAAATTATCACGAGAAATTGGTGGCTTCAGATAGTAAGGATGTTTTCTTTTGGACTGAAATTTGCTGGTCTGGTCTGGTCTGGTCTGGTCTGGTCTGGTCTAGTCTGATCTGGTCTGGTCTGTTTAAGTCTGGTCTGGTCTGGTCTGGTGTGGTCTGGTAAACGTCTGGTCTCTGTGTATTTTATAACTATCCAAGTCTGGTCTGGTCTGACCTGTTTAAGTCTGATCTGGTCTGGAACTGAAAACAGTCCAAAAGAAAACATCCTAAATAGGGGTCAGTTCGTTGGGTATAGAATTTCCCCAACAAATATTTGGTAGTGACTACTTTTTGGATTCAATTCACTCAATTCAATTGTGCATCCAAAGTAATTAAGTAAGACCAAGTCATGAAGACAGCAAGCCGGGTACGATTTTGTAGGTTGAAAAACCAAAGCTAGTCAGTCCAACTGGACAACCCTTTAATTAGTTCCTTTGGGCTTTGGAAAATTTGTCCCACGAACCTTATGGTTTTGAAAGAGAACATAATTATGTTTCAACAAATGCATGGATGGGTATATAGTTGGGCAATGGTTGTGAGTTATGAGATTTATCGTCGCCTACCTTTACCTTGACGACTTGACCCTTTCTGGTTACTACTTACTAGACGTACTAGAACAAAAATCACAATGAAAAAGTCAACTCAAAACATAACATAAATGCAACTGAGTTAATGAGTTATGATGTGTACCCCTAACCCCCACCATTACATTTTTATTACTATGTGTGTTGCAGTGTTTATGGATGGATATAGTCAACGGGCCGGGTAAACATGAACACATACATGTACACATTAATTAATTAATAACTGCTTGCTACTCTAATTTAAAAGACTTTATTAGTGGTGCCAAGTACGTGATAATATCATTGTGACATTCCAAGGAGGAGGTCACTCGAATTTTATCTCAGTTCAAGGATGTTAACATTAACATTAAACAGATACTATATAGGTTATAAAGAATTGTCCAAAAAAAGACTTTATTACTGGTACTCAAATTGGACCCAATATGGAATAAATTAAACTAGGTTCTTTTTACCAGAAAGAAAAACATTAGAGGATAGAGTTAATTGAGAGCTAAGCGAGGATTTCCAATATCTACTCATTCCGTTGGCTTAGATTACATAACAATTCATAAGCGGTAACCTTGCCTCGACTTATAACTTACAAGTAATTTTTTTTATCAAATATGATTTTAAATTTTAAATTAAGTAATTATCATTCAAGTTACTTTTTAACTGACTACATTAGCTAAAGTTACTATAGGGAATCATTTTAGCTATTTTTTCATAAAATATTTTCTTTATTTTATTAATAAAATATGTTTTAATTTTTTTTTCATAAAATAACAGAATCAGTCAACCCAGTCACTTCTTCTAGAACATCATAAAGTTTCAGCAAAATTAATCGATTCTGTCAATTTCATTGTTATCAAATGGACTCCGCATTACATTCACCACATGTTGAGTTCATTATTATATTACCAGAACTAACCAAGCATTCCAGCCGAGCTGGTTGTGAGGTTATCGTGCCTACTGGGAGATCTCGAGTTTGAAACATGTTAGGCACACAGGGGTTTGAAACTCAATGGAGTGAGTTTCAGTCCCGATTACTCCAGGCTCCCCCAGCCTCCTCCCCCGGATCCCCTAGAGTAAAAAAAATACCGGAATTTGGTAACTTGTTGGGCATAAAACACAAGTTTTTGCGTAACTTTGTCCATTGGGTGCAACTCTCACTTCCAACATCCCGTTGTCCTTCGTGGGATTTAAATCTTGATAGGGATTCATAGTGTTCGTTTGTGCTCTAAGGTTTGGCTTTAAGAGCATCTTCAATGCTACAATGTGCACGGTGCACATGTGGCATGAGAGAGATAGACACAAAAGATTGATTTTATGACATTTCTCTCTCCGTCTTTCCACGGTCTTATGTGTTTTTGGTAAGTTTTTCCCTACAATGTCAATCACAATGTCTACATCTAGACATTGTGCTTGACATTGTGAAGAAAAACTTACCAAAATGATATAAGATCCTTCAAATAAGGAGAGAGATATTTTATTTATTGTTTTTTGATTGGCTATCTCTCATGCCACGTATGCACTGTTAACGTTTTAACATTGAAGATGCTCTAAGTATTGGTGGTCGGACTTCGATGGCCTGTAATTCCTTAATTACCAAAAAAGAATCCATTAAATGTCAATTAAATGAGATTATTAGTTACTAAAAGTATGCATGAGTGCTTGACTTAAGATTATCACCAGCATGGCAGCATGCATGTGATTACGGGGGTCAAAATTTGATGCTCCGTAATGTGGAGTGTATAGCTAGATTTGAAACCATACTTAGATTTACAATATACTCCGTATACACTACTAAAAAACAACGATTTTGGCACGAATTTGACAAAATTCATAGGGTATTTGGCATAGATTTGACACGGATGCGTTAAATCTGTGCCAAATTCCGTGCCAATGTCATTTAGTCACCAGCTATTTGGCACGGCGCTGTGCCAAAAATAAGTTGCAATCTGTGCCAAACTGGACCAATCCGTGCCAAGTTCGTGCCTATTTTGATGTTTTTTTGTAGTGTATAGTACTACCTCCCTCCCACATAGTTAGACAAAAGGGTATGTCACAACTTTTAAAAAAAAGTAGAATCGTGTGGTTATATTAAATTGATGAAGTGTGAATAAAGTAAGAATGAATTGTAACCACTTATATATTACTACGAAAAAATGGTACGAGACAAATTTAATGGGACAGACGAAAAAAGTAAAACGGGACAACGTTAGGGGGACGGAGGGAGTACTACGTATGTGTTTGGATATAAGTTAATTCAAATTTGACATAGGGAGTTTATTGTTTTGTTACATGTATTATAATTATTGAATACAATGAGTGAATAAGAAATACAGAGCATATTATTTTGGAAAATTAGGATTATACTACGTATATAAGCATCAAATGTACCTACTTCAAGTTTTAAATAGTGTTGGTTTTACAAGTCATAACTTTTTACTCAATATATACTAACTTTTTACTCAATATATACTAGTATGAGTTATGGGATCAATAATGCGTAGTAGATGAGTTTTAAAATTTAAACATATATGAAGTATATATAAAGTGTTAGAAAAGTGAAAAACTTGAATAAGTTCTACTCGTAATTTTCCATTAAATATTTTGTCACACCCTATATATATATGGGCGACAATGAATGAACGGCGTGCATACCTACAAGACTATGACTAATGTTGTATGTAATTTGTAATCAAGTTATACTTGCACAAGTGGCTCAACATTTGCTAAATAAGAAGATAGTTGGGTTGATGGGTCTCACCGGCAGTGACACTGTGACAATTTCATCCAATATAAATGTTTCTTATTTACATCGTATCTAAACTACAAAATTGTTGGAAATCATAATATGATTTCGTCCTTTACTATTCTGATGGGTGTGATTTTGTTCTAAGCAAGCTATGAAACGTGTGGTACGTGTGAGCCGCATACTTACTTCATGGGTGTGACCTATCATTTCCCGTCTAAAACATTATTTATACAATATATATTGCCCGAGACACGAGTTTAATTAGGTTATACGTAGTAGGATTTTATGGGGGGCTACATATATACATTTAATTTGTTTTTAGCAACCAATAATTCTCAACTAATAGTTGGTACCATATGCCGATCAGCCGATCGTACTTGTAAGTTGTAGCACTGAATATGGTCCGTCCCACTGCCTAATTATTGAACACAGGTCCCCTCCTGCCCAAGGCTTGATTTCGTCATTAGCTCTTCAGGATATAGAATAACCTCCTAGTGATTATAGAATGGTCATCATTATCTACACAATAATGATAATAAAACACGGAGTAGTCATTTTTCAATTATAAATTGTCATTTTCTACCAAAAGAAATATATAACACAAAGTATTGGTCCAAAACTAGAGAGGTTCATAGACCTCGACGGCGTAGAGACAGAGTTCCACGTGAGGAGGTTAGAACAATGAGCACGAATGCACAAAACGAAATCGCCAAAAAAATGGGACTAAAATATTGTTAAAGTCCCAAAATATAATTTGAAGTTTATTATTCTATATATAAGTAGGACTGCCCACTACTACAATAATGACATATTACGTCACCCATTTAACGTCGGTTCTTGAAAAACAGTCCTAATAAAATTATTTCACGTCGGTTGTCCGTCAAACTGACGTTATAGGTTTTTTTAATATTTTATTTTATTTATTTAAAGGCGGATCGCTAAACAACTGCCGTGGTAAGGAGTTCGCTGTTTTTTTACTTTTACCTATGGCGTCAGTTAAATGAAAACAGACGTCAATAACGTTTTCTTATCTTGAAAAATGTATATAAGCTACGGAGTAATAATAAGCAGAGGCCGCAAAAGGGATTCAATTTGTTCTTGGTAACATCACAGGGTACCGGCGGATCTGAGACCATCCGCCACAATCACGAGAGGGAGTTACCGGCAGATCTTCCACCGCGACGTGAGGGGATTTGTTTCGACGGTGGGATTTCATCCCTGGTGACGGCAATTCTGCGCATCCAACTTCGATTGGAGGGAGACAGGCTTCCCTACGGTGGCTGATTTTCATGACCAGAGACCGAGACGTACTGCACACACGCCTCAAATTGCGCCAAGATGGAGTCGCGCCCGACTGAGAGAACACGCGTCTTGGCTCTCCAGCAACGGCGGGATTTCAGCATCGACGCCAGCGAGATGAGTCATTTTGCCTGATTACTAATTTTATTTTTGTAGTGTTGTATATTTCTTGGAACGAAAATAAAATTTAAAGAGATTGATGTGTGAATTAGCTAGCATAAAGAGAAGAGATCGGGTTTACCTAGGGTTTCAAAATTTATCTATAATTTCTTAAGATGTGTAGAAATTTCTATTTCAATTGCTTAAATTGGCTTATTTCTTTTTACAATTGCTTTTTGGTGTTTGTATTTGAATTTGAGTAATTGTTTTTTAGGAATTGTGTCCATGTTTTGTCAATTCCAGAAAATGATTCTAATTTGAGATTATCTGGCTACAATAGGACCAATATTTCTTTAGGGCCTTTAATTAGTTTTTCTTCTGCAGTTGAGATGCTTCTAGTCCTTCTACCCATCATGGATCTCTTGGTTTCTTGTATTGCAAAACTACCTATTTCATCATCATCCGTTATAGTGTGAACCAAGATCCAGTCCAACAATTTCTTCATTTCTTATCTTATTGAACTTTTACAATACTCTTTATTGTATATTAAAACTAATTTTTTTAAATTAATTACAGATATCGAAGTGTAGATATCACTTTAAGTATGAGTAGATATCACTATAGTTATGAGTCCGGATGCCCTTTCAAAAGTCTTTTTCTTTAGTTAAAACCTCTATTGTGACATGCTTTTGTTATTAAACTAGCACTATCTTCCAGTGAAGCTCACATGCAATAGTGATAGGTTTTACGAGTACTCATTTAATAGGAATGAGTTAGTCTTACCTTTGAACTATTATTAAATCAGTAGTTCTCTCTATTATGAGACCTAATTATTCTTCCCGAGAGCATTTGCAAAAATACCATGAAGGGTCAACTAAATCTGCATCAAATACCTCCAGTGTACCTTCCAATGGGGGATCTGTGACACCTAATAATGCAAAATTTGGTAAAAGGAAATGGCATTTAGAGCTGCTTGCGAGGAGGCTGTTGGTAAGAATCCAGCTGGGGGAATGAATATGATATTATTATTATAATGTTGCCAGCTTACTAGTATGTTACCAGCTTCCCTTTCACTTAATAGTCTTCTTCCTAATGTTATTTGGTCTCTGAAGTGTTGTTATCTTGTTAATTGTTAATAGGCTCAACTACCAAAATACATGCAAAATACATGCGGTGAGCTTTGGCGAGAATCCATCACAGTAAGGTTCCCATGCCACCAGGCAGGTAAAAACATATTCATTTCCTATCCTCAAAATTAAGTTTTTACACCAAATGCAGTATCATACAGAAATTAACAAATTACAGCTTACTTCTACATTGTACCAGAAAATGAATCAGTGAAATTTATAATTCACACTACTGTGTATGACTATGTCCAGGACTCGAGGCAAGGAATAACAATTGGTTTTGTATTAAAGTATATACTGGCTATATTGAGTAACTTGTTATACGGAGTATTTAAAAGTGAAGTTGGCTGATTGTGAATTTTGTTTAAAAGCATTTCATATTTTTCTTTTGGGACTGTTGGAACACAATATTATATCCTGATTGATGGTAGCTGTTATATGTTCTGTGTGTATTACATACAATGATGTCACAATTGGAGTAAGTTATATGGTTTGAATCAGGTCCAAGCTTATTTGGGACTTGGGAGAAGGTTGAAGACATTAAGATGAAACACTATTACTTTGAAAAAGTGTAAACATCATAAGTTAGAATGTTTCAGGTAAATAATGAGTTTGCCCTTCTTTAAACGATCCTTTTCTTCTTTATTTCTTTTAAACAGGGGGGATATCTATTTTGTTTCTTTTATTTGATGAATCATTTTCACTGCTCCAGAGTATAAACCTTCCACTTTATTTCATTTCGCAGTGATATTATGAGAGGAATATAATGAATAATGCCAGAAGAGCTCATAAGTTGTCTGGGAACCATTACACTGTGGTAGTAAAGTTTTTGAATGCTCAAAATCAAGGTAAGTAGGTCATTTCTGCATTCCATGTGAGCTTTTACTATGTTATATGAGTATTTAATTTAATGACATTTATTATCAAGAGCTATACATACACATTTATTAGTAGTATTACTGAAAAGATTATATTCCTGTAAGTGGATAAGAACCTTGTAGCAGAAAAGAGATTGATTTCTTGTTTTTGGTATTGCATTTTATTTCCTTCGTTGCTGAAATGTAGAGCTATCATTTTTTATTGATTTGGATAATGAAAACTTCAATGAAGTATACTGGTGAATAGAGGTAGCTTCTTTTGCTGCTGCAGGTGGATTGCTTCTTGAATTGACTTCTACTTTCTATACCAGATAAAGTTGCAGAATTATGTTGACAAATTGAGAGATTAAGGCCTCAGATGTTTGTTGTACACTTGTCTTTAGTTCTAGACTTCTAGAAAACATAATACTTCTGCTCTTATATGTTTACTGAGAGTTTTGGTTACATTTGAGAGATAAAGACATGTGTTATAATATGGTATATTCTTCTTTATTGTGCACGAGTTCGTTTAACCTATACAAAGCAGATATTCTATTGTGTCTTGCCTTTAGTTCTCTTGTAGTTTAAATCAAAGATGGTCGTATCCAAATGATCATTTAGAATTTTGGCGCATTTTTTTTTCTTTTTTAATGTTGATTTAACGTCGGTTATTTCATATAACTGACGTGACATGAATTATTTTTTGTATTAAATTAAACCCTTTTACGTCGGTTACAGGAAAAAAGCGACGTGGTAGATTGTATTTTTTTTATAAAAAAATTATTTATAACGTCGGGTTTTTAAATAACCGACGTGGTACATAGTTTTTTACGTCGGTTTAGAAACTGACGTAATATGTCATTACCTATAACGTCCACACTTTCCTCGTCACACTAGAAACCGACGTTAAAGGGTATAAATAACCGACGTAAAAAGTCCATTTTGTAGTAGTGGCCATGATTTCAAAATGATAATGTCACAATTATTTAAAAATGATTTCAAAATTATAATGTCACAATTCTTTAAAAGATGCCATAATTATATTTTTATTGAATCTGAAAATGTTCCATTTTTATATGAAATGCTATTATTATACGGAGTATCCTTTTTCTTATCAAGCTGTCATGGAGGCGCCTGCCGCCACTAGTAATTTTCCTTCAGCGTTCTCGAACTCTCGATGGCTGCTAGTGCTAGCTGGAAAATGCATGTTTGGGAAAACAATTAATTTTGTCTAAAAAAGTAGGGTTTTCATCTTGATATATTTTTAGTTCTATAAAGCGCATAGTTGTATATTTTTAGTTCTATATAGTCCATGGATAGGAGGCTCCGTCCGGCCATCGCCATTTGGGCGGTTACTAGTGAAATTGTTTTATGAAATTTTTGGAGGATGTTCTTCATCAAGTCTAGTTATTCATATCAAATTTCAACTAAAAATTCAATCGGGAAGGCATTCAAATGAATTTTTGAAGATAACTGCGCAGTTAATATATATAAACAACGCAATATTTTTCAGAAAATCGTTTGACTGTCTTCCCGATAGAATTTTTAGCTCAAATTTGGTATAAGTAAACTAGAATTGATGAAGAACATGCTCAAAACATTTTATCAAAAAATTCCACCGAGAACCACCCAAATGATGACAGCCGGACAACGGGTCTTGTCCCTCTGGTTGGACAGGATTATCATGACTCTATAGTTGCCATCTGATCTAAACACTTGTACATTGTTTTATTCGAGCAACTCCAACCATCACCATTTCTTACACCAAAATGGTGGATTTGCCAAAAAAATGCTCCAATAGCTACACCATTCTTTGCACCATTCCACCAAAATGGGGGAGGGAGTTTGGGTTTACGCCATATATGGCGCACACCATCCCTTACACTATCTTCTTTTTTTACAAAGTGTATATGCGTACTAATCATAACTTCGGTATTTGATGTTTCATTTGTATTACTCCGTATTTAATTTATCAGCTTATCTCTAATAAGATATTGCTATTACTTTGCAAACATAATTTCTACGTACAACTCATGCTTCCACCCACATAACACAAACTAATATAATATTATTGTACGGGGTAATATTTAATTTTATGTGGTTTTAGCTTGTATTTGTGAAATATTGATTATTGTATTTTAATTAGTGAAATGTGTGAAAATACATATTAAAATGGTGTATTTTAGTTTGTATGTGTGAAATAATGTGTGAAATGTCAAAATATTAAATGAGGGGCTAATGTATAAATATATGATAATTAGATACTTAAATATAAGAATGGTAAAAAGTTAGTAAAAAGAATAAAAATGGAATATTCCTTTTTGGTGATGAAAATGGTGTAAACTGTTGGAGATAAAATACTGTATGATGTGATGTTTACACCATTTTAGTGTAAAAAATGGTGTAAACTGTTGGAGATGACCTTCCAATTTAGAAAATTAATTCAACGCACAAAAACCTCCGATCCTCGTCTAAATTAACCCGCCATGGGGATTGGGGAAGGCATTATCCAGGTTCCCAGGGATGGTAAAATCCAAACCAAAACATCCAATGCATTATTTTGTTTTTATTACTCCGTAGATCGTAATCATTTTTCTATCAGGCTTGGATTCAAGCTAACGTAGCACAGTTATTCATGAGAACAAATAAATAAAATTTGTAATGTACTAATGTGTGGTGTATATTTTCTTGATGTAATAGTGATGTTTTATTACGCATAAATTCCGAAATGTAAATTAATGATTTGCTAATTGCAATTGTAAAGCTAAATGTATCCGTAGTTTCTTTTCTTTAATTGAAATAACATTGAGACAGTTTTGTATTACATGTATCAATACATGATCAATGTATGCAGCAGTATTACAAAATACTCCATGGAATTTTAAAGCCCGTTTGGTCACACTGAAATAGGTTGAATCGACCGATTCTGTTGAAATTTATGAAATTGTAGCTGAAGTATTTGGATATATTGACTAACTCTATTGATTTATAAAAAAATCATGATATGTTTTATTCATAAAAAGAAGAAATATTATACTCCCTCCGTATTTAAATGATCTCTACACTAGGTGTTGACACAAGATTTAAGGGGAGAATAGTAGGAGTAATGTGCAGATAAAATAGGAGGAAAGATAAAAAAGTAGAAAGGGAAGATAAAAAGTAGAATAAGTAAGAGGTAATTGATTATTTTTAAAGGAAAAGTAAACTTTTAAATTTGGAGAAAGTATGAAAAATAACTATAATCATCTACGATAACTTCAGCAAATTCAGTCAGAAAATCACTTCAACATTAGTCTTTCTTATTACTACACAATTCTGTTATGTGTTTGGTAAAAAGTTGACAGATAAACCTGATAAATCAAAAAACAGAACCACCGAATGGGCTCTTAGTATTTTATTTATAATTTAAACAAAAGACTTTCATCTTTTCTCCCTGTGCTCCTGCTCTACTCCCTTTTCAGCCACTAAACAACTCCGCGAAGTTAAGGAAAATGATGGGGAATAAAAGACTTTCATCTTTTCTCCCTGATAGTTTAATCAAATACTATGTATCTCCTATTAAGGAACAGAAATGCTATTGGTACCAAAAAATAGGGTACCCCATTCTTACCCCGGTCTATTGTGCGACAATAAACGAGTCAACATATTTAAGTGGGACCACTTAAATATGTTGACTCGTTTATTGTCGCACAATAGACCGGGGTAAGAATGGGGTACCCTATTTTTTGGTACCAATAGCATTTCTCATTAAGGAGAGATCTGGAGGCAGTCGAGGCACTGTCCAACAGTCAAGTAAACCACAACACCTTCCCGGGCTTTTTAGTGTTGAGTCATTTGAAGAATTCATTATTTCATTTGGAATTGAAGTCACCTCCTTCAAACGGATACTTACGACATAATACTCGAAATATGGTTGCTAGTTCATCTGTATTTATATTAACCTAGGTTTTGACATGAAATTATGGACTCATTATTTAATTATTTGAATCTCTTCCTCTATTTAAAAGTTCGGCAGCTGTCCCAATCTGTAATTTATTCGATTGTGGCCGATCTAATAAAATAATTAGGGATACTAATATAGTAATATTGTCTCGTGTCACTACTTGAAGTGACACCGGCCTGGCTGGACTTTAACGTGTACCAAATTTCAAGCCCCCCACCCCACCCCCACCCCCACCCCCACCCTTCTCATTTCTCTGCCCACTCGCCCCTTTATTTATATAATATCACTGCCCATTCCCTCTTGCAATACCCAGAAGCTTTGGACCAGAATATTTATTGATTCATAAAAATATATTTCCCGCAATGGCAGCCAGATTTTCTTTTGTATGCGTAGCAATTCTGGGAATGCTAGTGATGGAAGCTATGGCGGCTGAATCTGCTGATTCAGAGACATACCCAAGAAGGCTTTTGCTCAGAGGGGCCATAGCGGCTCCGCCGGTTCCCGGCGGTCCGGTTTCCGGGTCGGGAGAAAGAAGAGTTTCCGGGGAAGAAGCTGAAGCTCCGGAGAGTCTGGCGGCGCACCACCACTACAGTAAATCAGTCGCCGGCGGAGAAGTCATCATCGGCGGCCTTGTCACTGCCCTTTTCGCGGCGGTTTATTGCTACATTCGGGTCACCCGGAGAAGGGTCGACGGGGATCAACGAAGCGTGTATTGAATTTGTTATTTACAGTGTCATTTTTTCTTGTGATATAGTCCTATATTATTACTATTATATGAACATTAACAAAAAAAAGTATTACGTACAGTGCGTGAATAGTTAGGTTATTAGTGGGCAATGTAGGTGAATTTTGTGTTATTTATTGTGGCTTTTGTGGCTCTGTGCACGTGTTAGTTGATAATTAATGGGGCAACATAATTTATTGTTCGATGAATCGAAGTACTTGGGTTCAATGTTCAGTTTGACCTGACCTAAGAAATTAATTTAATCAAATCTGGGCTCAAAACGCAATTTTCTGCTTTCGAACCGGAGGAGGAATTGTGAATTTCATTCGGGAAAGCTCAAAAGTGTTTAAAAAATTCTTTTGCAAACATAGCCTTGATGATTTGCCTTCTCGCCGGTCCTCATAACCCCACGTCCCCACCGTCATGAGTGTACGTGGCTTTTGATTAGTGCTTCCTATTTCATACTTATGCATAGTTATAACACTTAGACCATTTGGAGTGATGTAGTATTAGGAATCCAAAATGTTAAAGAATGAACTTTTAAATTTTTTTTGGATGAAATGTAAATATATATTAGCACCCAAAGAAACTGTACATCATAAAACCAAGAACTAGATCTCCTAACTCCCCCCCCCACCCCTACCTAGTGTAGGGGTGAAAGAGAGGTTTTTATTCGATCTATATCTAAGTCCAAAAACAGATAGAGGCCTAAGTGCCCTAAATCATCAAAAATAATCGGTGTTGCATTATGCACACACACATAACATAAACCAAAAAATCATGAAATCAAAGTGTAGCCATGGTGTTGCGGTTTGCAAGCCTTCAGGTCCAAAAGAAGCATCCCGCGGTCTCCAATGTTGTATGCCTCACGAGGTTCAAGATAGGTTTGAGCCCCCATTAGAAAGTTACCAATTCATGCGGATAAATGTTAAACAAGATCTTGTACGTCACGTGCTTGATCTTAGCAATAATGTCCTCTGCTGTCTTCTTGCCATCATCAAACCTTACTTCATTACGCGCATGCCATATGTAATAGACTGTGGCACAAAACGCAATGCGCGTCGCCTTAGCCTTCAACGTCGAGCCTTTATGTGTTTTTGCAATCCACTTCACCGCACTCAATAGTGTTGTCATCTCTCGTGTAAAACCCATCCAACCCTAATCTGATGCCAAACCCTGCAGGAGAATGGACAAAGAAAGAATAGGTGTGGTATTGTTTCCAAACCACCCTTGCAAAGGTCACATCTATTAACTATATGGAGATAACCGAGACTGTCCTGTGTAGGGAGACGGTTTCTCAAAGCCAACCACACGTTAAAAGAGAGTTTCGGGGGGATGTAGGATTTCCAAATGAAGCACATAGGAGTCCTCATTTGACCCTTGACTCTTAATAACTCATAGATCTTAGCGGAGGCTAATTTTCCATTAGTGGCGCGTGTATTAAGGCCTAAAATCATATCATTGCGATTATTAAAACATGTCTGGATTCTATCTCGTATAAGACCCAACCTCTTCGTGAGTTGTGAGTCTCGGGTATGAGGGATAAAATCCCACACGGTTCTACCTTTGAGATAGACACCATTTACCCACCTCACCCAAAGGGTGTCTTTCTTCAAGTGGATGTCCCAAAGTGTGCGAGCAAGTAGGGCGTGATTCCACACCTTGGCATCATGTATGCCAAGCCCCCCTTCCTCTTTGGGGAGACAAATATCATCCCAAGCAACTTTGGCGAATTTGCCACCCCAAAGAAAGATCCGGCAAATCGAGACAATTCTATTTAAAATGGTTTGTGGAACCGGGAAAACTTGGAGCCAGAAAGACTGAACCCCTTGGATCACGGAGCAAATAAGCTCAATCTTACCCGCATATGAGATGGTTTTTGTATTCCAAGTTTTTAAGAAATCACTTACCGTTTCCAAGAGAGGGGCATACTGGGCAACGGAAATTTTAAGAGGTGCTAATGGTATGCCCAAGTATCGCACAGGAAATTCACCACATCCATAATCAACAAGATCAAGAATATTTTGTAAATCAAGGTTATGCACACCACCTAAGAAAATATTGGATTTAGAGTGGTTCACCCTAAGGCCCGACACGTCACCAAAGTCTTTAAGAGTATTGACTAATATCTCAATCGAGTATTTGTCGCCTCTAGAGAAGAGCATTAGATCATCCGCATAGGCCAAATGGGTGATGCCCAATAAACCACATAGAGGGTGAAAATTGAAGTTCGGGGAGTTAGCCCTTATGGATAATAGACGGGAGAAGTACTCAAGGCATACTACAAAGAGTAAGGGGGACATTGGATCCCCTTGCCTTATACCTCTTTTTCCTTTGAAAAAACCATGCAAAACACCATTCAAAGAGACAGAAAAAGATGCGGTGGAGACGCATTCCATTATCCACCCAACAAATCGGTCGGGGTAGCCCAAACCCCTCAAAATTTTGTCTAGGAAGTCCCAAGAGATAGTGTCGTAGGCCTTGCGCAAATCCACCATTATCATACAACGCGGTGAAATGTGTTTCCTATTGTATCCTCTAACAAGTTCCTGGGCAAGGAAAATGTTATCAAACATAAGGCGACCATCAACGAAAGCACCTTGTGCTTGGTTGATCAAACCCGAAAGGGTGGGGGACATCCTAGCTGCAATAATCTTCGTAATAATTTTATAAAGCACATTGGTACATGAAATAGGTCGGAAATCCGATACCCGAGGGGAGTGACTAGTTTTAGGGATCAATGCTATAACAGTGTGGTTAATCTGTTTTAGCAAATTTCCCGAGTTAAAAAACTCTCTAGTGGCGTTAATCACATCCTCCCCCACAATGCTCCAATTCTTTTTAAAGAAAGCTGATGAGTAACCATCCGGCCCCGGTGCCTTATCATCTCCAATATCAAACAAGGCATCTTTAATTTCCTTATTTGTTATTGTAGAAAGGAGGCTATCATGGACCCTTGGTTCAATCAAAGGGCCGGTCCCTAGGACCGATTGGTCAATTGGGAGGTTACTCATCTCTGTACCAAATAAATCCACAAAAAACTTTACAAATTCATTCCCAACTTGTACAACTGAATTAGTAGGGCTGCCATCATCTAAAGTTATGGAGGTTATGGCATTCCGGGATGCATTCCTTTTAGCGATTGCGTGGAAGTATCTTGTTCCTTTGTCCGCTTCCAGGATGTGAGTTGCCTTTGCCTTTTGTTGGAAGAAACTGCATTCGGCCTCCCCCAAAAAAATAGCTTTTTCCCTTGCCATCCTCACTTGCTCTTTTAATTCGGTATCCATTGGAGATGATAGGAATAGGTTGTTCAATCTTTTAAAATCATCCTTGGCAGCCTTTGCCTTGGAGGATATATGGCCATACTCAAGCTTGTTTAGATTTTTAAGAGGCTGTTTAAGCATCTTAAGCTTCCTAACAATTTTGTATTGAGCCTATCCATGAATGCCAATGTTCCAATTCTGCAAAACTAGGTTAGTAAAGTCCATATGTTTCAACCACATGTTAAAAAATTTAAATGCTTTCGGTCTTGAAGAGGGATTATCGAGTATAGACACCACGGATGCCGTGTGGTCAAACTCAACCTCCATTTCCGCGAAATGGGCCTTGCATTGAATTCCCAATTGAGCCCACGCCTCATTGATCAACACCCGGTCTAGTTTTGCCCAAATTGATCCCCTATTCCAAGTAAAAAATTGTCCAGTGGATGGGGCATCTTGAAGGCAAAGTCGGACCTTGAAATCAAACAAATCCTTTAGGAAATAATTTGCGGGTGTAGATGAGCCCAACCGTTCATTAGGAGAACAAACACAATTAAAGTCACCTGCGATAAACCATGGGTCCATAATTTGGTCCCCAAGCAACGCAAGGTGCTCCCATAAGGCCCTTCGTCTCACAACCGTATAAAGAGAATAAATAAATGTAGCATAGAATATGGTTTGTGACGTTCGGCATAGGCATTTGAAGTGCATGTGTTGTTCCCCCATTTCAATCAACGTACACGAAATTAAATTGGGGTTCCAAATAACTAGTATGCGACCCCCATCAATAAATTCATGATTAGTTTCAAAAAACCAACCCGGCCATTTATTAGAAACATAAATGTCAATGTTATTTTTTGCCATTTTTGTTTCTAAAAGGCCACATAAAGACACATTATTAGATTTAATAAAATTCGAAATGATAGAGTGTTTGGAAGGTTTTTTCAAACCTCGCACATTCCACACGGCAGCCCTAATCATTAGAAACGTCGGGGTTGGAGGATTGGGCATCCTCCGGTTCCTCCTCTTCCTCTTTCCCTTTGCCTTTTCTTATGTTGTCCATTGTTCTCTTTCGAGCCTCCATATTCTCTTCACTATTATCATCAAAGAAAGACACAACCTTAGGAATAAAAAGTGAAGTGTCAAAAGAAAACCAACCTCCTTTGCGCTTAACTCCTGGCAATTCCCGCAAGCAATCAAGAGTGAAGGTCATGCCGGGATCTTCTAGTTTTACTTCTTTGAAGTCCGGGCCAACACGGTGTACTGGCATACTGAAAGGGAGGAGTTCCCTCTTCCCGGCATACACGGTTCTATGGCCCTCTTCATCAAATTCCATGCTTGTCACCACATCTTCCTCATCTAGCTCGTACACATTATGGATTAGACGTTCCCCCCAATGTTCATATGGTTTCGTCCTCACATACACAGGGTCACGGTCTTGGGCCTTAGCTTTGGCTTTAGCTTGTCTTTCCATACGTTCTTTCTCTTGGGCAGCTTGTACACTCGCCTTTTCTTTTGCAAACTCCACATTATGGCTAGCATTAACATCAAAGAAAGACACTACATTAGGAATAAAAAGTTCTTTATTAAATTCATACCATTTTTCAACACGCTTAACCCCTGGGAGTGCCACCAAGCATGGGTCTGCGAACTGGATAGCCTGGGAATCCTGTTGAGCCTCCTTTAGTGTATGTACGTCAAGCAAAGCAATAGGGACCTTCTTTTTTATTTGGTGCAGTTTTTTGACAAATGCGAATCTTCCTCCATCCTCTTCGGTTACAAAGTCTACAACAATATCGTCCGGATGCAATTGATGTACACTATTGATTCTTCTTCCCATCCAAATGACCTCCTTCCCGGGATTATTTTTTGGCATCAAAGGGGCTGCCTGTTTGTTTGGAAGAGTGGCAGCCGGTTGTTTGGGTAAAGTGGCAGCCGTGTTCTTCATTTTATTTGAAGATGATGAAGCATGGTTTTGATTCTTCCTTGGCACCACCAACTGAAAGGAATACTCCTCGGGTTCACCATTCATGATCATCTTTGGAGTTTCTTTCTTGTTTGTAGTATTCTTGGAAGTAGGCACCGCTTCTTTCTCCATCTCTTTAAGCTCCGGATGAAGAATCTTGCAATAGAAGGGATTATGGCCGTATGTTTTACATTCATAGCAATAATTGGGATAAGCTTCATAAGTCACAAATTGGGTCCTCTTTTTCCCGGATGGTTGAATCATAGGGATTTTAAGGATTGGCGGCTTAGACAAGTCCACCTCAACAAGAACCCTAGCAAAGTTAGGCCTTGTTTTGTTGAGTGTAATTTGATCCGCCACAATTGGTACTCCAATACGCGATGCAAGTTCACTTATCTCTTCTTTGTTCCATAAAGTGACCGAGAGCCCGGGTAATTTAACCCAAATCGGAACTTTGAGGAACTCTTCATCATCAACCTCAAAATCATCGGATAGAACCTTAAGGAAAAGAGCCTTGCCATAAGATGAATAAGGTCCTCCGGATATGATTTTTGTTCGGTCCTCTTCATTTTTGAATTGGAATATGATCCAACCCTTGTCGTGTTGCTTCAACTTGCATGGAACACCCCATTTCTTTATTAAATCAAGTACGGCTTTGAAGCCGGGGAATCTCCCAGTGAAAATTCCCACCAAACAATACCCCCATATATCAATTATGGAGGGAACCTTTCGGTTAGAGAAGTCCACAACGTCCCCTTTAGGAGGTATGAATTCGAGCTTCATGCCATGTGAAATAGACCTATTGTTTTGGAACAAATTGGTCCATTCCTTTTTTTCTTCTTTTCCATCCTTAGTTATTGCATCATGGCTAGCCTCGGAGCATGTGTCATTGGAACCAAGGGTTACGGACTCATCTTCCACCAAATCATCCTTCTTTGGAGTGGCATTATCATTTGAGGAACCTTCGGTTAAGGAGGCATTTTGCTTCTCAAAAGTAATCTCTTTTGAGGATTCCGCCATAGAGTGTGGAGGGTTGATAGTGAGCCTGGGAGCAATTTTGGGGACATAAGGAACAACAACTTGATCCCCCATCTTCTTTTTATCCTCAATCTCATTTCTCTTTTCATTTAGCATCTTGATTTTAGCATCAAAAATGCTATCCTTTGGAGGGGGGGTGCGGTTCTTCTTGTTCTTCTTTGTCATTGGGGAAGTTTGCACATAGCATGCCCAAGTACAAAGCTTGTACGTGCCTGAAAAGTTAGTAGCAAGCACACACACAAATACAAGAAAAGGGCAGTAGGATTCAAGAATAAATTACCCAAACCAAACAAAGCCCAAAAATTTTGAAAATACTCTCACACAACCCCCTTGAGGTTAGGAACACAACGGTATAAACCTCTACACCAATGGATAAGTATGGGATTCAGAATAAATTCCTAACTAGTCCAAGGTGTGCCGGAATTACTGTAGCAAGCAGTTCCAGGGAAGGGGGAGATGAACAGTACCTACGAAATTTTGGAACTTCCCAGAAAAATCTGAAAAAATTACAATTTGTTCACCAAGAAAGACCGAGTGCAAGGGAACAAACAGTAGTTCAATCGGACGAGTAATGAGTTCAGGAAAAATCAAGAAAGAATATAAACCTCGAGCTAGCTACAGTGTCCAAGAATTTAGGGGAAAAACTGAAATGTTACCCAAAATTGATGAAACCAGTACCGTTAGCTTTGTATTGCTCTGGGGAATCCAAATCCACCTTCATTACTGAATTTGAACGATAGGATCTGAAGAAATCTGAAAGTCAACCCTCGGCGTGAACAGTACACCACACCAATGGATGTTTGCTAACTCCGGTACTGCGGCGTTGTGGTGGTCGGAGACCTGGTCCCGGAGGTTCGCCAGAGGCTGGCGACCCCCAAGGTAGCTTCACCTCCTCTTCAAGAATCAAGCTCTTTCCAAAACAATCGGTAGGGATGAAAGATTCTTGATTTCCGAGTTAGAGAAACACAGATTTACAAGGATTAATTCGTGGGATTATGCGTGAAAAAGTAAGGAAGGAACGAGCTATCTAAGAAGGTCCGAACTTGGAGGGTGCGTGACTTTCCTAGAGAGAAGCTGGAGCGCTTCCCTAGAGAGAAGCTGGAGCGTTTCCTAAAAGAATGAACTTTTAAAGCCTATATGGTTGGGGGATTTTGGAGGGGAGGGAAGGGGAGGATTAATTTTTTACTTTATTAATTTATCTGATTTATCTGAATTTGTTAGTTTTTTACTACAAATAAATATATAATTAGTTAAACCATGTATTCATATATGATTGCTTTTCCTTCTCCATGTCAGTTGATTGCACTTCTTCCTTGCAAACTATCCACTTTTCAAGTGATGAATAATCCATACATAATAAAATAGTGAAGCAGATTATTTAGGAAGAGAAGTCAAGCACAACCAATCAAGCACACTGGACATGGAAGGGTACTATAATGAGAATTTGACAAAGATAGACTTTAACAAATAGTACTAGTATAATGGTAAAGCATACTGGACTTGTTCTAAACCCTTCCATGTCCCAAATGCAGATAGTCCCAATTACTATATGGACTTGGTCTTAACCCTTCCATGTCCCAAATGCAGATAGCCCTAAGTCCTAAGCATACTGGAGTTGGTATTAACCCTTCCATATGTAGGGTTCAGCATTTGTCCTGGATTTGATCTTTGTTAAGCATTTGGTACTATGCTTCACAAATAGTCCCCAAAAAAAATCAAGAGTGGCAAAAATGCTTAAAGTGCTAAAGGGTCAAATAGGTACATGAACTAACTTAAAGTGTTCAATTAGCCCCTTATATAGGAGGTTCTGCCCGGCCGTCGCCAATTGGGGCGGTTCCCGGTGGAATTTTTTGATGAAATTTTTTGAGCATATTCTTCATTAAGTCTAGTTTACCCATACCAAATTTTAGCTAAAAATTCAACCGGGAAGGCAGTCAAATGATTTTTTGAAGATAACTGCGCAGTTAAACAGCGTAGTACATTTCGGAAAATCATTTGACTGTCTTCCCGATTTAATTTTTAGCTGAAATTTGATATGGTAAACTAGACTTAATGAAGAAGATGCTCAAAAAATTTCATCAAAAAATTTCACCGGGAACCGCCCCAATTGGCGACGGCCGGGCAGAACCTTCTATATAAGGGGTTAATTGAACACTTTAAGTTAGTTCATGTACCTATTTGACCCTTTAACCATGCTTAAAGTCTATTTGTGAAGCATACTGGACATTAAAGGGTTTGAGTCATACTGGATTGGCATACTAGTACTATTTGTTAAAGTCTATATTATCTTTGTTAAATTCTCAAGCACACTGGACTTGGTCTTTCTGTAAAGGATTTGACAAAATATCAAACATACTAGACATGGAAGGGTACTTTAAATGAGAATTTAACAGGCGGATTTGTGCAATAATGATTTGCTCACAAGTATGATTAATGATCTATTACCAGAAGGTGCATACTATAAACATGCTCTCATCACGGACGCTAATGCAAATATTCATTAAACAAATATTACAGATATCCACTATATTGCCAATTGCTACAGAAATCACAAGCTTAGCTAAAATCAACCCTCATCGTGACTACAGAAATCAAATTCTCTCAAACGCACTAAACACATTTGCTTCACTCTTAATTAGAGTGTTTGAATTTTGAAATAACCAAGATCACAAACAGAGTCTAATAATTTTTAGAGAGAAGAGAGATGGACCTCCGCTGTTAAACTTGATGGGCGACTGCAATTTGACAGAGATGGATACATCGCCCTTACTAATGGCCTCTTCGAACTGCTCCAGGGCACCGTAATCGTGAGTAAGATCCGAAGGTGTAAGGATTTGGAACTCTCGCTTCTGTAGGAAAGCTCTGGTGAGGGATCTTCGCTTAGAAGAGAGTTCGAACTCTCGCCCTCAAAGCCACGGGGATGAAATCTCCTTCCTTCTTTAGAAGAGAGTTGGAACCCTCTCTCTCGAAGCCCTTCTATAGATAGGTTCCACCGTTCCATCGTGCTTCAGTCTGTGGGTTGAAATAAAAGTCTAAAATTGAAATAAAAAAACCTAATTGAAAATAGAAAAAGATTAAAATGAAAAGAGAAAACAAGTGGGACATAAATGATTTGTAGGGCAAGAAAGTAGATTCTTTATGGGTAATTTGCACTAATATATTAACACACGAAAGCTCTCCATGTTCTTGTTCTTAGACAAAGACTTCCAATTAAAGAAACTTCTCATACTATTAAAACTAGTTTCCAAGTCCGTATAATAAAACTTCTAAACTATATTTCTATATTCTCTATTCCAAATGCATCAAACTTTCTTTTTTTTTAATATTTTTTGTAAACAAAAACTCTTACTCAATGAAGTGTGACATATTAATTTAATTGTCCTAATTTTACCTAGTTTAATAGACAAATATGTTTAACAACTAGTTTAATTTCTTATGAATTTATGGTCCTGTCTTTTTAATTGGTTTATGAATGATGATTACCATGTTAATTAAATATGGTAATCTTGTTTAACGATTACCGGGCTTCTTGAAAGCCCGATAATCAGGCTTAACAACTTTCTTATGATTGATTTGTTCATTCATTTATTTGTAAACAGGCACCTTATACACAACTGTTTTTAGATATCCAAAGCTATTCCTCAGAAAAAAAGATATCCAAAGCTTTACGTCTCTTTTATCTGCCTTTTTGAAGACAACAGAGACATGGACTTGTCTTCAACATAGTCTTAAAAGTCTTAACGAGGTGAGTGATTTCAATGTCGTCCTCAGTGTAATTTTGAAGTGAGAAGTCTGCTCCCTGTTATGTGTTTTATGATATATTTGTTTCAGAAGTCCAGGATCCCGCTCACAAGAAGTAAATCTGAAGAGGATATAAGAGATGTATTCAATCAAATTGGTGCTATCCTAGTAAATGAAGGGGAACTGGATAAATTTGTGCTTCAAGATGAATGTGAGGGTCATGATGATAAACCCCATCATCTTGATGAGAAAATATATTCTATGGTAAGACATTAGATTATAGAGGTGTAGTTATATTCTAGATACACATATAGTAGTCTTCTGATATCATTTAGTCTCTTCAATCATGAACCTTGCAATCCATAGCTTGCATTGAAATTGACTAATTAAAGAGAGATATCCACCAAAAAAATTATATCGTTTCATTTCTTTTGTTCCTAATAAATACGTAGTACTTTTTTTATAGCATATTGTGTTAAATACCCTCAAAAGCATTTTGTATTTTATGCTCACCAGTACTTTTGTTCTTTTTAAAAAATAAAAGTCATTTTAATGATGCATTGGAAACTTACCTCACACCAATCTATCACTTTATTCCTTTTGTAACTTTGCCTTACTTTAAATCTATCTTAAAATGATACATTTTCTTTTATGGCTTTTCTTTTGATAGTTTGTGGGGTTCAAATCTACCAAATTTGAGGATGTTGTGTATAACATTCTCGGGAAGATGATGATCATGATGTTCTGCTGAAGAAGGAGAAATGTCTCTGAACCTATCAATTGCTAAGAGGCACTTGGACAACCAAATAAAGGTTAGAATATCTACATGTGATCATTTTTTTTTCTTTCCTTTTTTGCTTATGTTGTCTCTTTGCTTGGAGCATAGGCATCGACTAGGAGACACTTATGACCTGTTTGTTTGGGGTTCACCTAGGTTATTGAAGGTTCAATTTCTAGTTAACCCCATTTTTTTTGCAACAAGAACCTAGATTATGCGTTAACCTCACTTTACTCCCGAGAATTTGGAAGAACCTTAAATTGAAGAACCTCCGAATCGGGGGTTTTGGAGGTTAAGTTCTCATTTAACATAAAATGAGCTAGTGTACCTTCATCCAAACAACGTTGTTACATTAACCTGGGTTCACCTTGTATATTTCCAAACACTATTTTACGTATGGACCTAGGTTCACTTAGGTTAACCTAGTTTTTATTAAAACCTAGGTTTACTTTATTGCACTAGGTTTACTTAACTTCACTTTATTCAAACAGAACATTAGGCGCCCAGGTGGGGGAGAGCGCATTCCCCAGGCCACACCTGGTTACCTCACCTGGAGAGCGTTACTGAGGTATCAACTAGGCATTCATAGGGGAGCCTATGATAGATGTTTTGCCAAATGCTCGCCTTTTGCCGCTTTCTGCGCTTCTAGGAGGCGTTTGCCTTTCGCGCCTCAGGGATAGGCGTCGATTGTCGACTTATCCCTGAGAAACCTTTGGCGATTCTCCCCCTCTATTCTTCCACACATCCCTATTCTTCCGCTCCTCTCTCCTAGAGTTGCAGCGTCGCACGTTTATCACGGAGTATTATGTTTTTGTTTCCTTTTACTCTTTCTTCTCTTTTTACCTTAGTTCTTAAAATTTTCAAATAGTTTCAATTATTGAAATAATATATAGAGACAATTACCTTAGGTATTACTAAAACTCAATGAGTTTCCGAATCTATGACTTAACTAGTTTTTTATCAAAAAAAATATTAAAAATCATAATACTTAATCAAAATTCGTAATTAATAAATTATAAATATTTTTTATGGACAAATATACCCTTTAGCTAATACCTATAAAACCCTAACCTCATATTCTTTTTCTTCAAGCCTAGCTATTACCTCCTAAGCCAACCTGCGCATCCGCCCCGCCTTCCAACTGCCGTCCGCCGTCTAGCCACCGCCAACCGTCCAGCACCGTCGTCCATCATCCAGTGCTCCTGCCTTCCACAAAACTCCTATCCGAAACATAGTTTCTGACCCCCAAGGCAACGTGGCTTGCTGGGGGCAGTTGTTCGCCCGACCTGGGTACCAAGGCACCGCCCCACAACCAACCGTCTGCCGCCGTCCAGGAGTACGGTCGGAATCTAGCAGTGAAACCAATCGTCCGGCCACCCTCAACCCCATATCTTCTCGGCGCAGCCACCGCCCACACTAACGCTAGCGCCCGTCGCCGCCGCTATCTTCTAGATCCACCGTTGGAGAGTATGCGAAACCTAGCAGGGAGGAGGAAGTGCGGCGCAGGTTAATTACATGTAGGTTTGTAGTTGTTACATAACGATGCGCGATGGGCCTGTTAATGATGTTACATCATGGCCAGATTTGTAGCCATTTGGTTACTGCGGATGCCTGCTCTGGATTCGTTGGTAATTTTGGCATCAATTCTCCTTTTTGCTTTTCAATTTTTAAGATTAGGAATTTCTAAAAATGGAGTGTGGGCCTTAAACATGGGCATTGAACATCAACACTTCAATAAGGGTTGAGTATGAGCCATGAATATATATGATATTAGACATATTATACGTGACAATGAATGAATGCATTAAAACAATTGTTGTACAGTGATTATGACCAGTACTGCAATAATACAGAGCGGTAATATCTTCATTGAATGCAATATACTTAATTATATATAAAATAATAAAATAATTAAATCTAAAAAATAAAAAATCAAAACTAAAAATAACTTCTTCAAGTGAATATGAGGAGAATTATTTTTTGCAGAAGTGTAGTGATTATTAACGGATGTGCAGTAAAGTTGTGCATTAATGTTGTGCATTAACGGCAATACAAAGTAAAATAATTTCAATTGGAAAAAATTAGTGCAAAATGCACATATTTTAAACAAGAATATTTTCGTCATTCAATCTTTAAATAAAAACGAGATTTCTATTTTTATTTTTATTTTCGGTAATACAAAAGTCGAAAAACTAGTTAGCTCATAGATTGAGAAACTCATTGAGTTTTGGTCATAGTAAATTTCCATAATATATAGCCATTTAGCAATATGCCGTAAGCCCAAAACCAAATCAGATTGCTGATCAATTTTAAATAATTCCACATCACAATAAAGATGGTTTCTACAATTGGATTGTTTAATTTTTTTTACTTTTAACCGTTAATAAAATAAATAAAATAAAATTAATCGCGTGCTACTGCTACATGGTACTTTATTACATAACATTTATGTATGACAGTTTATTATGATTAACAATTTATTATATAACATTTATAGTAATTTTTAGACAATTAATAGTATTTTTTAATAAACTACTATAAACAGTTGCATACGGCAGTTAACTATTAATATGATTTTACAGAGTAGTGGACAAAAATGTGATGTTGGTAACTTAAGTGACTATAATTGTATTCAAATATTACATCATAATGACTATAAAACTTACACATAGAAACTTAGAAACACTTTTTTATCCATAAGTTTTAAATTAGAAATAATTTAGAAAAAATCTTGTTTCTCTCTCTTTTTAACGAAATACTACCTCCGTTCTCTTTTAATTGCAACATTGGACTTTTTGCACTATTCACATATTCTACTTTGACTACATTTTATTTATTAATGTATTACAAAATAAATTTTTAAAAAATATTATTAACTTCTTTTCATTTTAAAATTTCAAATTAAGAATTTTTTTAATTTTTTTACTAATAAAAAATGAAAAATATTGATGGTCAAACTTGTGCGTTGGCAAACGTGAAATGTTGACTGTTGCAATTAAAAGAGAACGGAGGAAGTATTAATCAATACAAAATGTGGGGACCATACCAAAACCTCAGAAAGGGCATTCCCTTTCAGCGAAAAGAAAACAAGCCATAAAGAGATCAACAAATATATGCTGAAACAAGTTAATAAATATAAGGAACTGATTCCTTGTCAAGCTTAAGAGCACCCCCAAGCATGTTTGGGATTAAATCCCCCGGTCTCCAAATAAAAGGGCCGTGAAAGCCCAAGGTCGATCGCTACAATCTCTGCTGTTTTATTTGCCTGAACTGGAATAAAATGTAGCCCAACCCTGATTCGGCCCAACAAAGAGCAGTCCATCTCCATAAGCTTCAAAGAGTAAACGTCAGCTACAAAATTAGGAAATCCCAGCCTTTCTGAATAGCCCAACCCTTATTTTAACGTTTTTGCATAAAACGTCAAAAAAGAATACAATAGGAATCATTGAAACATTTAGGGATTATTATTATTATTATTATTATTATATAATAACTTGATCATACTAATTTATGTTAAATTTTTACATTTTGGTGACTATAACAATTTTTTTTGTTTTTTGTTTTTGTTTTTTCCCTTACCTTTTTATTAAAAGGGTAAAAAATACATAGTAGGGGGACATATTGCCAAAACCTACATAGTCATTGGTGACTATGACAATATATTATAGTCTATAGTAACTATTAGTCATGTTATTTTTTAATAAGTTTCATTTCAATATTTTTTTCTTAAAATCACTTATTTCAAATGGAAAAATGATAAAGTTTTTTTGGGACAATTAAAAAGGGAATTTTGATTAATATTGCAGAAACGTCTAGAAAATTCTCCCTACCGTGTAATAAAAGGAACCTGGTTGTTATGTTTTCTTCTCTTTCTAAATTCGCAATTTTGGTATAATGATTACAACGGTTTTCAAAAGAATTCACTCTTGACGAATAAGAAAAGTTTTATTCTTCAAATCCCCTATACCTATTACTACGTACGTAGTAATTTTTTATGGAGTACGGAGTGTTATTTAAGAAGCCGATTGCTCCTAAACTATCAATTGAGCCGATTTCATTATTTACCTTCAGCGTAACGCTTTTGCTTCCATTTTTCAAGGTGCCTTCGATAAGACTGCTTTGCTTATGTATTTCTATACTTGGTGAGTTGGTGTGAATATTAATTTGCAATTTTCTACCTCCCATGTGATTAAAACTGAACTATATTTCTTAGTGCCTTTGTTTTTTATTTCACTTGTGGAATTTAGATTTTTCTTTTTTTGCTTCATCAGAGATTGGTTTTTTTTAGTTGTTTTCTGCTCAAAACGATGCAAAAACCAGCATTTCCAATGTTAAAACTAATTAAACTATTGCCTTTTTTCATAACACGCCAATTACCAAACAACCCAATTATATGGGGAATTGGTAGATGTAATTATGTAAAACTCGAATGGGGCCATGGCGGAGTGGTAAAATACTAGGGAGTAAAGGAAAACGGCCCCATTGACTTATTCGGCAATACGGATAGACCGGCCCGGACCGGACCGCTACTGTGTCGTACCGCCCGACCCACCTGGCAGGGCCCGAGCCTTGTGCCCTAACCGGGGGGGGGGGGGGGGGGGGGGGGGGCTACAGGCTTGGGATTTGATGGACGAGCTGGCCCGGCCGGTCTGGGACTGGCCCGACCGGTCTGGGACTGGTCCGGGCCCAATTGTTTTCTTTTTGTGCTTTTTTTTTCGAATGGATTGGACTAGACGGGTGGGGCTGGGTGGTCTGGGGGGTTTGGGGGTGGGGGTAGGAATAATAAAGAAAAACTAAAATATTTAAAAAATAATAAGACTCGACCCAACTTGGCCCGGAACCAACCCGGGCCGGCAGTGGGCCTTCATTTCCCAAATCCCGGCCTGACCCGGGGCCAGAACCCGGGCCGGCAGTGGGCCTTCACAATTTTGTACTACGTATAAAGGAGGAGCCAATCGAAAAAATTACATTTCTACTTTAGACACCATTATATTTAAAGAAATTGAAAAAAGTACTCTGTATTTTAAGTACTGTTTCGTCCTTAAGCGGGCCAAATCTCCCTTCCTTTATATGGTCTATCAATAGTTTCGTCATAGGCCCAACCAAAATTTTACTCGTCTTATTATTAATAATTTAATAAATAAATACATTTTTTTGTATTCACTAATTAATCTATTATACAAGTAGTATCTACTTTATAAATAAATAAATAAATAAATAAATACATTTGAATTTTCACATTATATTGAAATATGGTGATGAGGTTTGAATGGTATTGCCTATTGAGTTTACAATGAAACTACAGGTTATTGTGTTTTCTACAACTAATGTAACTATTATTACAATTATCAAATACCTTTATTAATACGATCAAAAAAATACCTTCATTGTTGAATTTCAAAAATTATTTTTGATTGATAATAAACTTCAACGTAAATGGATTTGTGAATCTTGAAATCTCAATACATAATCGTTCATCAATCATCAATAAAATTGAACAACGTACAAACATCAACACTTTGTAATAATATTTTACTCTTGATCATCATATTTCGAATCATAATTTACGTCAGAATGTCAAACAGTTTTGAAATAAGACACTTCGTCTTAGAAACAACACTAGTAGCTTTAGAAAAGAGTTAAAAGAGTGATAAAATATATACTATCGTAGTACTTAGGCAGTTAGACTCAGAGAGCTCTTCTCATCAGGCCGGCCTGACGGGCTGCCCCGTCCGGCCGAGCCCGTTTGGGCACCTTCCTGGTGGAATTTTTTGATGAAATTTTTTGAGCATGTTCCTCATCAAGTCTAGTTTGTCCATACCAAATTTCAGCTCAAAATTCGATCGGGAAGGTCACCAAATGATTTTTGCAAGTTAACTGGTCCGGAAAATACATATTCCGGACCAGTTAACTTGCAAAAATCATTTGACGACCTTCCCGATCGAATTTTGAGCTGAAATTTGGTATGGACAAACTAGACTTGATGAGGAACATGCTCAAAAAATTTCATAAAAAAATTCCACCGGGAAGGTGACCAAACGGGCTCGGCCGGACGGGGAAGCCCGTCAGGCCGGCCTGATGAGATGATTTCTCGTTAGACTCATTAGCGAGCAGATATACATCAATCATTGTTTGTTGCAATTGTGACGTAGGCGTCACAATAAAATCAAAATTATATTTAAAATATACTTTATTAATAAAATAAATAAAATATTATATGAAAAAATAACTAAGGTGATCATTTAGGGTAACTTCGGTCAATATAATCACAAAATTTAAGTAACTTTAATATTACTTTTTCATATTTGTTGAGTTTAATCCAACACGATATAGTAAATATATGTATGAACACTCAGTTTTTACGTGGAAACCCGAAATGGAGAAAACCACGGGACTTTTTAGGCTAATGTCCAATCCCTCTCTTTCTCATTAATCTCTCCTCACCATTACATAGTACATTTTGAGCTCCCATTAATGGAGTATTATCTATTTAGATAACTAAAGGAAGAAGGGAAAGGATCCTAAAAAGAGGGGATCAAAAGGGATCCCTAAACATGTGGGAAAGCCCCATATTTATAGGGGTAAGGGAAAGGGGGAAACCTAACCTAATGGGCCAAGTAAGCCCAAAATGGGCCCAAAGGGCCAAAACATGCCTAATAGGCTGAAATGGACCTTGTCATTCGGGCTCCAAGCTGGGACAATGCCTTGGGCTCCTGAACAGTAACGGACCGGGATAATATACCTCATCAATATTATTACGCTAGAGTGCAGATTAAAAAGTTAGATGTTTGGTGAAAAAATTGATCGCCGAAAAACAAGATCACCAAACCAAATAGGTTACGTTCTTAATGTACTTATCTGTTAATAGGCTGAAATGGACCTTGTCATTCGGGCTCCAAGCTGGGACAATGCCTTGGGCTCCTGAACAGTAACGGACCGGGATAATATACCTCATCAATATTATTACGCTAGAGTGCAGATTAAAAAGTTAGATGTTTGGTGAAAAAATTGATCGCCGAAAAACAAGATCACCAAACCAAATAGGTTACGTTCTTAATGTACTTATCTGTTAATAGGCTGAAATGGACCTTGTCATTCGGGCTCCAAGCTGGGACAATGCCTTGGGCTCCTGAACAGTAACGGACCGGGATAATATACCTCATCAATATTATTACGCTAGAGTGCAGATTAAAAAGTTAGATGTTTGGTGAAAAAATTGATCGCCGAAAAACAAGATCACCAAACCAAATAGGTTACGTTCTTAATGTACTTATCTGTTAATACACAATTTAAATTGGGTTGTTCCATAATTCATATTGTAGGTGATCAATTACGAATGGAAGTGATAATGAACCTGCTCAATAAGCAGCCAGCATCATCAAAAACTGTTTTTTGTCATTTCTTTCTCCTCCACACCATCATCCTCCTCCTCCGCCAAGGAGTGGTAGCGGACTTGAAGGCAGACAGAGAAGCCCTTGTAGAGTTTGCATATGTGGTGGGCGGCGGGAGTGGACTAGGCTGGAACACGGAGGCCCACATATGTAGTGACCGGGCTGGCGTGAAATGCGTAGGCAGCCGGGTAGTGGGACTGCATCTGCCGGGAATGGGGCTGAGTGGGGCCATACCGGAAAACACCATAGAACGGTTGGACGCGCTGAGGGCTCTGAGCCTTGAGAATAACTCTTTAACCGGATGGCTCCCGTCCAAGCTCATCAATTTGAAGAGCTTGGACGTGAGCAACAACGGCTTTGACGGCCCCATTCCGGCGTCACTCTCGAGGTTTCCTCATTCGTCCTTTGTGGGGAACGCTTTATTATGCGGCCCGCCCCTAATAAATCAGCCGTGCCACCGTCGCCTCCGTGATGAGCTTGACATAACCTCATATTCCCAGCTACCATCTTCCTCTCATCCACTCCTATCTCGCGGCCTTCTAAAGTCAAACACAAAGACGACGAAAAAGAAGGAATCGCATGTGGTAATTCACATTGTGGTACCTCTTTCAGTTGCTTTAACAATTTTAGTAATAGTAGCAGCATTGTGGTGTTACTGTAATTGGGAAAAGGTTAAAGATTGTTGTAAATTAAATGAGAATGGTCTGTAAGTAATTGAAAGGCTGTAACCTGTAAGTATGCTACATTTACGCGTCCCTCGCGGCCTCGCCGCCGCGATGTAATAAAATATGTTCTGTTATGTGTCATTTTCCTTCAAAACCCATGCTTTTTATGCACAATTATTTATTTATTTATTTAATTTGTCATTATAGTGTATACCATTATTCATTTATGGGAAATTTACCCAAATAGGACTAAATAACAATCAAATTGCAAAAATAGGAGTCCCAATTAAACATGTGTCGCGTAGGACCAAAAAGAAACCAAACTTCCAAAAATAACCTCCAGCCACGTAAGGGGAATCGGAAACTACCGTTCCCACTTTCCACTTAGAAACTGACAAGGAACTCGAGCGCGCCGAAAATTGGTTTCCAAAGCATCGAGGTATTCAAAATTAAACAAAGAGATATAAATGCATAGAGCAAGCCACAAGCTCGCGAAAAACTCTTCCGACGACGAAGTGGAACTAGAGCATAGACAACATTGAGTTCTGTTCGAAGGTTGAATGAAAATGGAAGTCTCTGATTTCCAAAATGACGACGAAAAGGAGGCCTCTGATTTCCAATTGGACGCGCTGAGTTCACTAGAGATCAGAATCAATTCCCAAACGGTATGTATGAGTAGAAGATGTAATATTCGTAAACACATTTGATTGTCATATACATTCCATGATATCTCCTTGTTTCATTTAATCGGATTGACATTCAGTGTATTATATATGGATTTCATGAAATGCAAGTTCACTAAATCATTCATGAATACAAATGCCAAAAATCAGAATTTGTCATATAGATTTATTAGGTCAATGTTATATATTGATAAGTGAATGCCACTTTCCTGGATTATATGATGGAATAACAATACCATAAGTAAATGTATTTGAAAGATAGATTTTGTTAGGTTAATGTTAGATAGAGAAGTATGGAATCTGATGTGAGCATTGTGTAGTGAATCATGACATTTGAGATTGTGCAAGTGATGTGTACATGGCATATTGGTGTGCTATTTTTGATTTTTTTTGCATACAATGTACTTGGATTATAAGTGAATGCCACTTTCCTGGATTATATGATGGAATAACAATACCATAAATAAATGTATTTGGAAGATAGATTTTGTTAGGTTAATGTTAGATAGAGAAGTATGGAATCTGATGTGAGCATTGTGTAGTGAATCATGAAATTTGAGATTGTGCAAGTGATGTGTACATGACGGGCACTGTGTCATGGTGCGTCAAAATAAATCGATACTAAGACTTATACGTAGTATAGTGAAGTAGAGTTCGTATCCACAGGGAAAGGAATAATTATCTTTTTATGTAACTAGTAAATAAAGGGGGGTTTTGGTTGAGTGATTAAATTAAACACGAAGATGAACGACTTATATGAGATTTAATTCAACAATAAAAGGGACTTGGCCTTGCTACTTTCCACTTGTTGATATATTTCAGTCGATCATTGTTATATCTATAACTTATCCCCTCTCGATTACTCAATCGAGGAGTATCTCCAATTCATCGAGGGTAGTTATTAATAACGACCGTTCATTAATAACTCTTACTATTAATCAAATATAGAACAACGCCGTATACCGATATAATAGTAGCATTTAATCTCTTTAACTCCTTGATGAAATCAATTGAGATTGATAACCTCAACACAACGGTTTCGGTTTAACCAATAAAATTAATCCCTCTTAAGTTTATTAACCACGACCGTGCATTAATAAACCTAAGTTACTTGCTTGTGAAACCATCAACGATTAACCATCGGTTCGTTGATCGTTACTAGTAATAATTAATGTCGGAACGTTAACTAATCGTCACTTAGCAACCCTCCAACATTAATATAGAATGAGATTAAGGGAAGAATTAATAATCAACAGGAGAAGTTAAGAAAATAACTCACAACTTTAATAATCAACAAGGTTCAAGAGCAAAACCAAGAAATGAGAGTTTAGCTCCTCATTTGGAGACTAAACATGCTAGAAAATATAAAGAAATGCTATTCTAAACTGAGCTTAAGAGTATATGTGAATTGGTATCTAATTGTGAAGGAAATGGGGTGTATATATAGGCTTTTGGATCAGCAGCTCGTGTACCTGATCGAATACACATAGGGTACCCGATCGGGTATTTGCAGAATGTTGAATTCGAGCTTTACTCGATCGATTCCATGGTAGAAATAAAAGGCATACCCGATTGGGTGTGTCGGTGTACCCGATCGGGTATGACAATTGATCGTGGCCAAATCTTCCCCTGCACGTCCCTTTGTTTCCTGTTTGATCTTATTGAAAATCAAGTTGGTACTCGATCGAGTACATGGTATACTCGACCGGGTACAGGTCAAAAATCAGAATTTTGCCTTCTTTTGTCTTGTACTCTTGCACCTTCCTTCATCAATGATCATTTGATTGATCTTGGACCTATTTAAGCTCCTAATCTAAACATAACTATTACACCAAAAGTGTGTAATTTCCGAAATATTAAACAACTAAAACTAACTAAAAACGTAAACATACACACGGAAATTACAAGCGTATTAACTCCCCCACACATAATTCTTTACTCGACCTCGAGTAAAGTAAAATGTTTCCAACAGTTTAGAAGTTTTTCAAGAGCTCAAAAAGGAAAGAAACTAAGACCACCAAGGAATAAAAATGAGTTTTCAAACAACATTCTTTCTTGGGTTTTGTGATCTTCTATGCTCCATCTTCTTGCCTCTTCCTCTTTTTCTTCTTCTCTTCTTCCTCTTTTTCTTCTTCTCCTCTTTCTCCCAAGAGATCAAATGAGGTCCTGCACATAACAAATATTTGTCTCATATCTCTCATTTTGCCTAGGAGCCTTTTCAGGTTTTCATCCTAGCATCTCTTTTTGTTTTTCCATCCTTCCTAACTCACTCATTTTTTTTATATAAGCCATTTTTGGGTTTTCAACCTAACTAACATTTCTTTTTATTTTATTATTCTTTTTTTTGTGTTTACAAAGCATAAAAGAAAATCCATGCATAGTAAAGGGGTGAAAATAAAATGACGTACCCATGAGGAGTCTCCCCCCTTCTCGGTCCAAGCACTGTCCCTCTTCGCCGCCATAGTATCCGCCTCCAAATCCGCCTCCAAAGCTCCCGTCGCCCATGTGTGTATCTCCGCCATCCCCGCCATCATAACCTCCACCCCCGGAGCTAGATCCTCCAAAGTTATCCCAATGAGTGGGATCATACCAAGAGGGGGTGGGGGTGGTTGAGCCATAGTATGGAACCAGGCTTGATGAGCCATGTATGAGTACATAGAGGCCCAAAGAACCTACGTTGATCTTCTTCGTACCTCCGGTTGTGTTCGGCCTGTTGCTCCTCAAGTCGTTGAAATCCTGCCCTTTGTTCCTCCTGATACCGTCCAACTTCGTCGGTCACTTTGTTGAACCCATCAAGTAGTTGTTGGAAATAATCAGGGGGTGGAGGGCCTGGTTTTTGTTCGGGAATGTGCCCATGCATAGCCTCGGGTTCATGGTGCTCGGCTTGAGGTTCTTGTAAGGGTTGGTTTTCGGGAGGGTTTTCGGCTTGAGGTTCTTGTAGATGTGGTGGGAGGAGGTGTGGGAACAAGTAATGGGGCACATCTCTGTTGTATACGAGTTTGGGGAGGTTCGGGTTAGGCAAGGGGAAATGTCTTACCGGTTTTGGGTGTATGTGCTAATTGTACACATGTTGAGGATGTTCTTCACCATACACCGTGTGAGAAAATGATGTACACCCCGAGTTGCCTAACCAAGTGATATTCATTAAACAATAGTCGGGTATAGGAGAGTTATCTGTATACCCAAACTTTGTTGTCAAGTGCCTAATCACCCCACCCACTACAATTGTGCCTTTAGCCAAGCTTTCTTTCTTGAGGCGTGCCCACATCAAATTGCAAAGATTAAAATCCACAGCACGACGGAACAAAGTCATAGTCATTAAACACACATCCCCCATCCTAGTATGATGATTGTTGGGGTACCCAAGTATACAATTTGCCAAGAACTTTAAAAATATCCGGAGAATGGGATAGTGAACATGGCTTATGTAAAGTTGGGAGGAACTAAATTCTAATTCTCCGGTCATTTTGGTCCAAAGTGCATGACCCATTACGGTTTTGTCCGAAATCTCTCTCTCGTGGGGGACGGGGATGCCAAAATGTTCGGCAAACTCAAGTTTCGTTATTGAATATTCTTGGTTTAGCAAACGAAACGTGAGTTTATCATCCCTAAGATCATCCTCATTGCTCTCAAAACGAACCGAACTTATGAACTCATAGATAATTTTTTTCATTTGAGTTGTATTTCATATTGAAAATTAGGTACATACCCAACTTATGAAAAAAAATTCTAGTGCTCTTAAGAATTCCTAAATCACGAAGAGCTTTATGGAAAAGAAAACGGGATGGTTTAACTTGCCTTGCTATTGTGGTGAGGATTCTAGCCCGGTGTACGGCGTCGACGAAGTGGATGTCCTCATGCCTTGAATGGGTGCCATGGAGTTGGAGCTCTCTCCCCTATTCTTTCTTAGAGCCATTGTTGGTGTTTTGGAGCTTAAAAATCCGAAATTCGAAATAGAGGGTAGGGTTTTCGGATTTTTGGAGTGTTGGGGGGAAAGGGGATTTGTAGGTATGGATGTGTAGAGGGGAGTGAGGGGAGTATTTTGGTGGTGGAATGGGATGATTTGGTGGAGGAATGAGGGAGATATGGTAGAGAGAAGGTAGAAAAATGGAGTTTGGGGGAGTTGAGTTCGAAGTTGGGTAGAGGGTTTGGAGAAGATGAAGTGTTTTGGGAGCTGTTTTGGGTATAAATTGCAGGTATACCCGATCGAGTACCCTGCTATACCCGATCGGGTATATGTCTTTTGTCCGGTTCTGAGATGTGTACTCGATCGAGTCTCCGAGGCAGTGGCCTTAATTGTTTGTTTTTCCAGCTATGCCCGATCGAGTATAAAGGTGTACTCGATCGGGTCTCTGAGGCAGTGGCTAGATTTGTTCATTTTTTATCCATACCCGACCGAGTAAAAAGTAATACCCGATCGGGTATTCTGCCTTTTGCATATTTTGAGCCTGGTACTCGATCGGATAGATTTGGAAGGCTGTTTACCCTTTAGCTTCTCTGAAAATACCCGAGTGAGTACAGAATTATACCCGGTCGGGTATGCCTGTATTTTGTAAAAACTTTTGCTGATCCGATCGAGTATTGCACTCGGTTCATCTTTTTAACCAATACTCGATCGAGTAATTGTAAATACTCGATCGAATGGGTGTTTTTTTCGAAGGGGTGTTTTTTCACACACACTCTATAAAAATAATAATAGAAAACATACCTTGAATGGGTTCCCTCCCATGAAGCGCTTTGTTTAACGTCGTGGCTCGACGATATCTTCGTTGCTCCTCATTCATAGAGCGGTTCAGAAAGGTCTATGACTTCCACGTTTTTGGGTTAAAAACCCTCAAAGAAGAAATCTCTTTCCATTCACCTTGAGCACCTCTCCCGTCTCCAGGTCCTCAATTTCCACCGCCTCGTGTGGATATATTTTGACCACTTTGTATGGTCCAGTCCATCGAGATCTCAGCTTTCCCGGAAATAGACGAAGGCGTGATTGAAATAGGAGGACTTTGTCATCAAGTTTAAAGTCCTTTCTTATGATCAATTTATCGTGCCACTCCTTCGTCTTTCTTTTGTATATTTCCGCATTGTCATAAGAATCCAAATGGAGTTCTTCCAATTCTTGTAATTGGAGCTTCCTATATACACCGGCCTCGTCAAGATTGAGGTTGAATTCTTTCACCACCCAATACGACTTATGTTCAAGCTCTACGGGAAGATGACAAGTTTTGCCAAACACAAGTCTATAAGGGGACATACCGATTGGAGTTTTGTAGGCAGTTCGGTATGCCCATAGCGCATCATCAATGCGTATACTCCAATCCTTCCGGTTCGGGTTCACTGTTTTCTGGAGTATAGATTTCAACTCCCTGTTTGAGGTTTCCGCTTGGCCATTGGTTTGAGGGTGGTAAGCGGTAGAGCTCTTGTGAGTCACACCATATTTTTTTAGTAGGGATCCCACAATTTTATTACAAAAATGTGTGCCTCGATCGCTTATTAAAATTCGAGGGACCCCAAACCTTGAAAATATGTGTGATTTGAGAAAATTTGCAACCACCTTTGCATCATCAGTTTTGGTGGCTTTAGCTTCCACCCATTTGGAGACGTAATCCGCCGCAAGGAGGATGTAGATGTTACCTTGAGAGTTTGGGAAAGGTCCCATGAAGTCAATGCCCCATGCATCGAAAATTTCACAAAAAAGCATGGGGTTTTGGGGCATCTCATTCCTCCTTGAAATATTCCCCGCTCTTTGGCAATTGTCACACGCCCGACAAAAACCATTTGCATCATGAAAAAGAGTTGGCCACCAAAAGCCACTTTCAAGTATCTTCATCGTCGTCCGTTTCGGGCCGAAATGTCCTCCACAAGCATAAGAATGACAAAACTCTATTATGTGAGCTATCTCATATTCGGCGAAAGGGAGTAGTCCAAACTGTATCTGCAACGTTCTTCTATCTTTGATTTCTTCCTCTCCGGCCGGGGGACCACCACCCTTGTCCATGATGGGGAGATGCCTCGTTAAAAACCTTTACTAGGAAAAAACCCAGTGGGAAAAATCCTAATAAAGGGAAAAAGAGTACACCTAGCGCCCCCAACATGAAACAAGGGAGGTAAGTCCCCTCCGGCATAATTAATTTAGCTCAATTGCTCTTCATCTGACTCAGCTTTCATTCCTGCTCATGCGTGACATTTTCTGCTCATCTAGATACTCTGACTCCTCAGTCCCCCAGTCCCTCACTCCTTGAGGCGAGTGGAGACAAGGTGAAAATGAGTAAAGTCATCTTCGTACCTACACATTCAACATACATATAAATTTTTTCTTGGGATTTATGTTTCCGATCGGGAGTTCGTCACTTGAAACAAGTGGAGATGTGAATTGTTAATGTAATGATAAAATACTTAGTAGAATGGATGTGTGAGTCATTCGTAAGCAACGGTGCCACTCGAGGAATGACTAAGACCGGTCTTCGTGCCCGACTTGGTCGGGGCTTTGTCTTAATGCCTGACTTGGTCGGGGCTTTGTGCCTAATCTTGGTCAGGGCTTTAAATCCTAGTGATGGGTTTCAAGCCACACTCTACTAGGCATTTGATCATAAGTGCGTGATAGTGTGACATTCACTTGACAAAAAAATGATTTAAATAATATAAAAATTAAAGAGTACTCATCTTTTTGAAGTGGGCTGAAATAATGGACTGATTGGGCTGAAAAATATCCAACTGATTCCTTTGGGCTGTTATAGAAATTGGGCCTGATTCCTTAGTGAGCTGGTATGCCTACTATTTTGGCCAGGTCTACGAAACGCATCAATTAGTTGGAAAGTGGCCGGCAAGTAATTGGCAAGTGACCAAGAGGCAGCCTGTCACCTTCCTCTCTTAGGAATCTTTGTAGCTGGCGGGCGAGGTGGGAGAGTATGGGTGAAGCGACCGGGTAGAGAAAAGGGGCGGTGAGCGACGGCGCCGCATCCATGGTGGAGCCCAGAGTGAGCTGCAGGCCTGTGCGTTATTGATTTGTTGTGTGATGAGGTCCGGTGGAGGAGCTGAACTTGCAAGGCTTGCCTCTTACAGATCCAGGACTTGAAGATCCCGATCTGGAAACTATGGCCGGTGATTCACGGTGGTCGGTGAGATCCGTGGAAGTGGTGGCCAGCTGGCGGCAAGAATGTTTTGGAGTGGGACGCAGTGTACGGCCGCGCGACCTGGGACACAGCTGTGGGATGACGGTTGCTCCAGCCACTTCTGGGAAATCCCAGATTCCCGATTCCCCATCTCTGCTCTTTGCTAATTTTTTTTTATGAACTTTCCATACAGTTTCTTGGTTTTGCCTTTGCCATCACGGGATGTGTAGAGCTCTGGTTGCGACTGCGAGCTATCCTCGTGGCGGAGCACGGACTTAGGGCTTCCTTGACCGACAGATTCCTCATCTTGGTGCGTCCTTACGCCTCTTTAGGTTGGATTCTGGCTCGAGGACGGAGCTTCCCAATCGGCCATTAATGGCGGACTCTTAAGGTTAAGCTCCAGGGGCTGAGTCATTCAAGCCCGGAAACCAATGCGGTGGCGCAGCGGCCAGGCGCGACGCTGTCAGGGTTGAGGCGGAGGAGCTTGTACCTGGCAGCGGCTTCAGCTCAGACCTGGGGATGGGGGTGAGCTTCAGCAGGCGACAAGCCTTTGCTATGGTGTGTGCCGGTGGTGACGGTCTTTCCAGCAAGACATCTCCGGCTCTGTATCAGAAATCGTTAATTTTCTGATCTCGTTCGTTGCTCTTTCCTTATCCAATTTCTGACTCTCTTTTTTAATTTCCACATCATTTTTGCCTTAATTTTTTTGTGATTGAAATGATTTTTGGATGTTTTAGGAGGTTTTCTCACTTGATTGTGTTCAAACCTCTCAACGAGAGCACCATATGATGGATAGCGTACCCGGGGGGTAGCTTATCCGAGGGGTTATTCGGGGAATAACCTAGAGAGAAGTCAGAGCAAATAAGTGAGAGAGAGTCAGATGTATTAATGAAATCTGATCTGGGATCCTTTACAAGAGGAATATGGGCTGCTATTTATAGTAGCAATAAATGCGATGAGAGTACACGTGTCAGGAATCTAACGGCCGAGGGGTCACCTCAATCCGGGTGGCACCGGCATTCGCATGTGCACCGCATTAAGTGCGGTGGGTGGACGTGACGCCGCATTAAATGCGGTGGTTGTTTGTCTCCAAAGGGAATCTTCGGTGATTGAGCTGTTAGCTGAAGGCTCCCCTGTGATCGAGGGCTCTGTGCAGCCGAAGGTTCAGTGTAGCCGAAGGCTACTCTTACGCCGAGGGAACCAATGCCGACGGCTCCTGATTTCTGCCGTTTTCTCCGAGTAGCTTTGTATGCTCAAATCTGGCTGCCCTGTGAGTTTTTGAACCCTCGGCCATGGTGCCGAAGGCATCCCCAGGCGCGCTGCGGGTTCCTTTGGGCTTGGGCCGCGGTGTTTTGGGCTTCATGCGCTTCTTGGGCCAGTTGGGCCTGTGTTGGAGTAGTGGGAGTCTGTGGGCCGGGGGTTCCCGGGCCATATACTCCATCAATGATCATCAAACGACCTCAAAAGTGTGAAAGGCTAAGAAAGAATTTTTTGAAGGTAGAGAGCAGGGGTGGGCATATCGGTTTTCAGTTCGGTTTGGAACGGATTGGGAAAATTATTACCAAACAAAAGTCATGTTATTTTGCGTTTGGTTCGGTTTGGTTTAATTCGATTTGGTTCAATTTGGATTTATTATGTTTCAATAATATATGAAGATTTTATTGAATTTCTTTAATTCGATTCGATTTTGTTCGATTTTTATCGGTTTTGATTCAGTTTGGTTTAATATAATTTGAAAGAAGTACTACTAAATTTAAATCAAATTGCATATGTCTGATTTCGGTTCAATTTAGTTGGATTTGATATGATTCAGTTGAATTGAATCAAACCAATATGTCCAAATGAGTTTAATATGAACGCTAAACTATATAGGATGATACGGACTACGGACTAAATCATACTCTCCGTCCTAAAATCGTTGACCAATGTTGACTTGCACGTGGATTAATAAAGTAAAAGTTATGTGGTTGAAAAAGAACTAAATACCCCAACTTCTTCTTCCATCTCCTTCATTTTATCGTTTCAGCAGAAAAGAAAAGGGGAGTATTAATACATTACAGTCATTCAATCATTCAATCTCATCGATTTCAGCTTATAAGTTAACTGCAACCAAACCAAGAAGAAGCAACCCCTTCATCTTCTTCCTGTTCCAGAGCTCCATGAAGCAGAGCTTCAGATTCCTGCATCAACTCCGGGCTCAATCTGAACATAAGAACGCAGAATTCCATCTCATCCAAAGCCCCATCGCCGTCGATATCCCCTTCCCTCACCATGCTCTGTAGCTCGTCGTCCCTCAATTCCTGAAGCCCCAAAACCGCGGCGTTCCTCTTCAGGCTCTGGAAGGTAATCACCCCTTTCTCGCCGTCCATCAGCAGCCGGAATCCGTTGCAGAGCTCCCGTATCAGCCCTTCTCCGCCGAGCTTGTCCGCCATCAGCGGCAGCATGTCTTGGAACTCGTTTCCTCTGCTGCCGCCTGTCATTTCTCTTAAAGTTTGGGTTTTTAATTTCTTTATGATGAGGAAGAGGGAGTTGGTATTGATATATAGATGGCAGAATGTTGGGAGGATTGTTCCTGGAAATTACGGGGTGGATGAGTAATAAATTGGGTCTGGTATTTCTTACAAATATAATAAAAGAATTAATTTCATTTTGGTCCTATGAATTTTATGTCCATTTCATATTTAATTCATGTCATGAATAATTTCACCATGTTCATTTGTTGTACTTGAATAACGTTGTTTAACCGTTTGTGACTTTTCCGGCAATTTTAACAATCGAAAATATGGTTGGGACGAACCATATATGAACGAAAACACAATAGTTATGTATCAAAAATGAACAAAATAAAAGATGTGGACTAAATGTGAATTTAACAGACCAAAAAGTGAAATTTATTCTAAATTACAATACTCCGTAAGAATATTACAACTCATACTTTTTTTCCAGATAAACGCAATTGGTCTTTAACTTTTTTACTTTTTGAATTCTGAAGAGCATAATTCATAAGATATCCGCATATTAAGTCTTTTATTACTAAGTATTTTTTAATTTATTTGTATGAATTGGGTTTTTTTATAAATAAAAAATTGTCGGGTAGTTCATCCCCGACGCTATCTCTTATTCTCTGAGACCCTATACTGGAGGGCTGGAGGCACAAGACATGCTGCGTGCTCCATGATGTGCCGGGTGTGGGCGACCCAATTGTGTACGGAGTATTGTTTATCTGATATTAATAATTTTGTAATTGCAAGAAAATATAAAGAAAATTTTATTGTACAAATTTTATTATTGTACGCGCTTTTATATGTGTTTATGAAGATTTTTTTTATCTGTCATAGACAAAATATGTTTCGTCTTTATTGTTACAAAATAGGGATAAGGGTCAGATAGGGCCTCGAACTTGAAAAAAAATGTCAAATAAGGTCATATTTAGGATGCTCTGTCTAGCCGACACCATTTGGGGTGCTTCCCGGTGGAATTTTTTAATGAAATTTTTTGAGCATCTTCCTCATTAAGTCTAGTTTACCCATACCAAATTTCAGCTAAAAATTCAAGTGAGAAGGCAGTCAAATGATTTTTTGAAGATAACTGTGAAGTTAAACAACGCAGTACGTTTCGGAAAATCATTTGACTACCTTCCCGGTTGAATTTTTAGCTGAAATTTGGTATGGGTAAACTAGACTTAATGAGGAAGATGCTCAAAAAATTTCATCAAAAAATTCCATCGGGAACCGCCCCAAATGGTGCCGGCCAGACAGAGCATCCTAAATATGACCTTATTTGACATTTTTTTCAAGTTCGAGGCCCTATCTGACCCTTATCCCTACAAAATATGTTTTGTATTAAACATCCAAAAAATATTTCACCAACGCGTGTAATAGAGTATACAACAATAAAGTACTACGTATATACCAAGTCTTTTTCAATATAATCACCATTCCAATTATCTAAATCACACAATGAAATACACCATGCATTTGTACATAATTTTGTCAATTCTCGTGTTCTCATAAAAGTTATTTTCTTTTAAAGTTATTTTCTTTTAAAGTATGACGTAATAAGTACGGAGTATGTGTTTGTAATTATTTCTTTCTCATTTGTATAAATGTCTATTATACGGTCTTTATTTATTACACCACGTGCAAGTTAAATTTAGTCAAATTTTATGAGAGGAAGAGTGTACCAAATTACAATTTGCCACGGTTTATATGGGAGTGTTTGCAATTGCTTCAACTTTAAAAAAGTGATTTTTTAAAGTGATTTTGAGAAAAGTGATTAATAGTAAAAGTTGGTAGTGTTTGAGAAAAAAGTGATTATGGAAAAGTAAAAGTTAGTAGTGTTTGGTAAAATAAGTACTTTTTGTGTAATAGAAAAAGTGAGAAGCAGTTTAAAGCACCTTTCTACCTGCTTCCAGCTTTTAGCTTTTAAGTGATTAATTTAAGCAGAAGCTGTCATTTCAAAACACTCTTTTTAACTTTTTTTAAGCCAAAAGCTTAAAAGTGCTTTTTTTAAGCAAACCCAAACACTCTTTATGTTGAAAGAATAAATAGCTATCATTTATTAAAATTAGATAAAGTATATAAAAAAATAGATAAATTATAAAATACACCCACTTTATGTATCGGAAAAGATCCTGTCCAGCCGGAGGGACAGGATCCTCCGTCCGGCCGCCGCCGTTTAGGGCGGTTCCCGGTGGAGTTTTTTGATGAAATTTTTATGGAATGTTCCTCATCAAGTCTAGTTTATCCACAAAAAATTTCAGCTAAAAATTCGATCGGGAAGACAGTCAAATAATTTTTTGAAACATAACTGCGTTTTATATGTTTAAGTTGGAGCAGTTATCTTCAAAAAATTATTTGACTGCCTTCCCAATCGAATTTTTAGCTGAAATTTTTTGTGGATAAACTAGACTTGATGAGGAACATTCCATAACAATTTCATCAAAAAACTCCACCGGAAACAGCCCCAAACGGCGGCGGCCGGACGGAAGATCCTGTCCCTCCGGCTGGACAGGATCATTCCTCCTTTATGTATTTCACCTAAATTATAATACACCCACTTTCTCATTTTTATTGAAAAAGAGAAAGATGAATAAAAACAAAAAGTAATTAGATCAATAGTCTTGTGCAGTGACGAGATTGTAATAAACTATTGTGTTGGTAGTTGCTACGATGCGGCTTTTTATTCATTTTTTTATTCATTTTTTGCAAATCTGAGTTTCTCAAACGAGTTTTTTAGAAAAATATTACTAAAATAAAACTTATTTACATAAATATCACTATTCATTACTACAACATAATGTTGTGGACTTGTGGTAACATGAATTACTAATATTTCATTACTATTCTAGTAATTAGTCATATTTTTGTAAACCATCTTTATTTTGATCATATTTATGTAATTATTTCTTCTCAAATTACATTGGGAAATTTACCGGGATATGACTAAAACTCAATGAGTTTATCAATATATGACTTAACTAGTTTTTATACCTTTGTATGATCAAAAATCCAAAAACAAATAGAAAATTCGTTTATATTTAAATGTTGAATACGAAAATATCCTTATTTAAAATATGTGCATTTTGCACTAATTTCGTCCAATTAAAATTACTGCACTTTATATTGTCGTTAATGCACAAAATTAATGCATGACTTTACTGCACATCCGGTAATAATCACAGCACTTCCCCTAAAATTAATTCTCTTCTTATTCAATTGAGGATTTTTTTCAATTTAATAATTCTATTATTTTACATCTAATTAAGTATATTGCATTTCATGATGATATCACTGCTTTGTGTTACTACAATACTGATCATAATCACTGCACAACAAAATTTCTTAATGCATTCGTTAACTGTCATGTACCACATGTCTATTACCATATTTATTCACTGCCTCAATTTAATGCCCACAAATCCTAATTTTAGAAACTTTTAATTTCAAAAACAAAAAACCAAAAATGAGAATGAAAAGCAAAAATAGAAAGGGAAAAAACGTATTGCAGCGCCGCACTTCACCAAATTGAAAACCCTATTTCCTTCATGCGCACCAAAGCACAAACCCATCTTCATCTAAAACTTTAGCGCCGCACAAACCCATCTTAACCAAAATTCATCACCTGCGCCGCACTATCCATTCTTTCTGCTTGGTTCTGGCAACACTCCGACGGTTGAGGTAGGCACATGGGACAAAACCGGGCGGCTAGGCGGCGGCGCTCATGGATCGAGACGGCGGTGGGGCTGGTGGCACTAGTAAAAAAATGTCTTATAGTGACACTAAATTAGTATCATTAAACGATTTTGTGACACACTGAAAGTGTCACAGAAAAGCGGGGCAAGTGACACTAAATTTAGTGTCACTGATTGCTAAACAGATTAGTATCACAAAATTATGACAATAAAATATCACATAAAATTATGACGTTATAAAATCATAACTTTTTTTGACACTCTGGTATCATAAAGATATATGATACATTAGTATCATAAGTGTATATATATGTGTGTGTGTGTGTGTGTGTGTGTATGTAATATAATTTAATACTAATAAATAACCAAAATTCAAAGATTTTTATTTATATCTCAACTTCTCACATAAATGTGAATGTACATACTACATAATTCATGGGGGCACACCCCGAAACAACAACTAATATACAAGAACAAAACGCTAACAAGTCTAACTTTTACACCACACTTCTTAGGGCCTTCACATATCTTCTTTGGCAGACTTGCACAAAATGAAACTAGTTCTTATGCTACCAACTTCATCGTTTGAAACCTCACTTGCTTCTATCATAATTCACCTGCAAAGTGGACATTACAGTAATCACACACTAGTTCTACTTAGTACATCTTTCCTATAAATAAGTAAAATTTAAACTGTAAACTACAAAATAAAACATCTCTAATTAAAATATTTGAAAGCCTTAGACTTTTTTAATTAAATTATTTTTACATATTCAAATCCCTATTTTATAGTAAAAGGACTTACTTGGAAGAAAATGAATAGCATCTCTAGCAACCTGTTTAAAGATTAACCAATTCACAGATAAATAAAGAAAGAATATATAACCCTGTTGAATGTGTCATAAGCACTCCTTCGTATAAAAATGCTAGGTGCATACATAATAACCACTTGAATAGCCTGGAAGATACATTTGACATATTAGAGAATAAAGAAAATAAAATTAAAAAAAAAGACAAGAGAAACAGATTACCAATAATCCAGCATTTAGAGAGGGCATATATGAGAAACTGTCAATATGTTCAGCTTGTGTTTCATGACATTCAGAACCATCAAAATGCTAAGCAAGATTCAAAAGCATGCTTCTTCAAATCCACGAAAGCATAACACATGAAAAGACATGCTTTAGCATGCCTACTGTCTGCCATCTCTTAGTTTGGTCATTTTGAAGCTCTTTTCTTAATGCACCTGAACATATATCAGTCTGCCCCCAAATGACTGTAGTAGTATATCAGTAGAAAAGGAAAAACTGAGTCTTCAGATTCAAACAAAACATATGTAAATAACTGAGAACATGTTAAAAGGACCTGCCAGTGATGCACCATGTTTAACAAAAGAAAATTGTGTTGTA